ATTTGAAATCTTAAAATCATAGAATCATAGAATATCAGGGTTGGAGGGGACCTCAGGAGGTTGTGTAGTCCAACCCCCTGCTCAAAGCAGGACCAATCCCCAACTAAATCATCCTAGCCAGGGCTTTGCCACTGTTAGGTACTAAAGCATTTACTAAGGTCACAAACTGTGACATTGTCAATCAGTTATTGAAAACAAATGCATATTGCATGTTGGGAAAGCAAAAAGTACCATGTTATTTCCCTATTCATATCAGTACCTATTTTTGCTGCATCTTTTAAAGTTATTTTGCCATGCCCATTACCATGGTGTCAAAATGCCACTGAGCCAGCAGAATTGTTGCAGGCTGTCCTGTCGCTTGATATTCAGGGAGTCCGTAATTTGTGGGTCCTTGATGCTGTACTCTGAAAAGGCTATTTTTAAACCTTTAAGATGTATATTAAAAGGTCATGTTTAGGGAGACTTTAATTTGAAGAATGTTGCATATGAAGTAGATTTAAAAGAGGAGAGATTAAAATCACAAGGACTGTTTAGTTTAGAAAAAACAGTGAGGGAGATATGATAGAAGTGGGTCCATTATGGTAGAAGAGCAGTCCATTATGCGATGAAGTGTGTTTTAGCCCACGAAAGCTTATGCCCAAATAAATTTGTTAGTCTCTAAGGTGCCACAAGTACTCCTCAGTTTTTTTGCTGATACAGACTAACACGGCTACCACTCTGAAACGTGGTAGAAGTGAGTGTTTTTTTGGTTTGTTTTTAAGGTATTGAGAAGGTCAGATGTGTGCTTCTGTTTACCCTTTATTATAATACATAATTGAGAGGGCACTTGCAATCAAAAGGCAGTGAATTTAGAATTTATAACATTAAAGATTCTTATGCAATATAATTAACCCATGGAACTTGTTACTGCAGGATATTATTCTAGCTCATAATTTAGTAAAACTCAGTGGAAGATTGGATCATGTATATAAGTAAGAATAACTTCTGCAATACATGGGCTATTCTTTCTCCTATTTCATTGTGACCTGATCTTCAGCTGGAGTAGGGAAAAATGTATCCTCGTTGTTTAGTATTGCACACTTTGGTGCGTTAATGGAAATTTTGTGCTTTCCTCTGAAATATTCATCTATGGTCTCAATTATATGGGCCATTGGTCTGATCCACAAAAAATTCCTTCTGTGGAGTGCCTGTCCTTGTGGGCTAGCATCCTTTGTTTATTCTTATGTTTGTGGAATGATCTGTAAATTATGATATTTACAGAAACTCCTATGTGAGCAAAGGAAATCCCTCATTTTGCTCTCAAAGTAATTTAATAAGTGTGACCCTTTTAAAAAAAAATTGCCCCTTTTTTCCCCTTCCCCCAATTTTTTTTTCCTTCAAAGATCAAACAGTCACCTATCCAGTAGTATTTTAAAGGATTTTGCTTCGGGTTTTGTAAGTAACAATAATGCTGTGGGAGGGTATTTCCCTCTAGTCTACAACTATTAAGTTAGGTGTTTTAAATGTAGTCTTGTAATAACTGTCTAAAAACATCCTTTGTATTGTGCATCAGGGGATAGCCACAGGTTGGAATAGAGGCAGACCTCATCAATCTTTGCGTAGTTTGTTTATATATGTCTGTAGTCAAATTACGTGAACATTATCCATTCTTTTAGTCTGAAAAACCTTCAGTCCTAGGTATGCAGAAACAAAATAAAAATGGAGCTTGTAACTTGGGGCTTTAATTAAATTGAAGGGCTCATGCACTGTTAAGCCTGCCATGTATTTCCTCTGCTCTCAGGCAGGAGAATCCCACATGGCTGTTGAACAGACACATTCTCCCCCACCCCCCCTTCCTTAACTCTTAAGCCAAGTGCTTCACCTGCTAGAGTTCAGAAGGGAGGGTGTAAAATTCATATTTTTCCACCTTTCGTTCCTGAAGTGCAGAGCTAGCTGCTCCAGTTGGCCCGTGTGTGGAAGGGAGATGAGGAAAGGAGCGCTGTACAAATAATTGTATCCCTTCAGAGACAGTGGCTTTCCTTCCTACCCTTTTCTTCATGGTGGAGATGCGGGCGGGGGTGTCTTGACTCTCTTAGCTGCACTGTTTCAGCTGCCCTAGTGCTTGCTCAGTCTGTCTCCCCTGGCAGCTTGCACAGTGAGACTCACTTTCTGTTGTAAGAGACAAACAGCTGTGCTAGAAGGAGCCACTTTTGTAGCTGGCACCAGGGAATGCAGAGGTGACAAATACCAGGCCTTGCAGGGAGAGGACTGCCTGCAGCAAGGCATTAGACAGGAGCCTCTTCCCTTTGTTCAGGTGTATGGTGAAAGGGGATGTATGGCTGGGAGGTTTATAGGGGCTGTAGAAAAGGTCTGTAAGAGGAGCAGGGGTACATTCAGATCTCCCTCAACATGTTAATTATCCTCATTTCTTCCACCTGTCAGAGTATGGGAGGAGATTTGCCCCTCTGCCCATGAAAAAGAAATTTGAAGTTCTGAGATAAAGATAGATTAGTTCTGATAACACTTCACTGTCCTATTAGCAGGGAATAGGGATGGATTATTTGAGTTCCTGAGCCACGTGTTAAATGAGATATTTGATCCTAGCTGAGGAAAGACCTCTTTAGCACATTATTTCCTATTTTTGTCACAAGCAGCCTAAGAGGTCTTATTTTTAATTTTTTTAATGAAATGAAATGAAATACACTATATTGTATTATGTACTTGGTTATATTGTGCTCAGTATTTAACTTTTGGGATTTTTTTTTTTTTTTTGATGGATGTTAAGATGTTGGTCTTCACAGTAAAATGAAAGCTGAGTAGTTAATTGGAGGATTAGTGTGACATGTTTGGGAAGGAAATAGGATTTCTTTTGTACAGCTGCAAAACCTTAAACAATTGAGCATCCTGTACTATCCCCTAAAAATATAACATGGAAGTTCTCTCAATCATCTGGCTTTACCCTGGAGTTCCTTTTTTTCTTCGCCAAACTTGTTTTAGAGAGATTTTTCTTTCTAAAAATCTAGCTTCCAAAATATCAGATAAACTAGGCATGCTTTCTCCTTTGCAGTCCACTGTCATGTCCTTCTTGATGCTCTGGTAAGTTATCTTATGCTGAACATCACTCTGTTGCCCCAGAAATGATTATTTCTACAAATTCAGCATTTTGACTTCTGTGTAGAATCTGGTGGGAGGGGAAAAGGTGGTGAGGGACCATGGCCTTGTTTACACAAAGAAAGTAACATTGATTACTGGCAGAAAAAAAAAAGTAAGAAATAATGAAAAAACTGATAAATAATGTGAAAGTCAAAGAGCAAAATGTGCACAGTGGCTTTTCAGGGAAACTAGGTAATAGAGTTTAAACTTTTAAAATAGATTATATTAATAAAAATGTGTGCAAACCTATATCATATGACTTTTGTAGTTACTATCTAGCGATTTTATATTTTAATAGTTCTGAGACAGATTATTGGAAGGCAGTTAGGGAGCAGGATTGCTTACTGTTTTAAAACTAATAATAGTTTATGTGAACACATATAACAAGCTGAATCAATTGACTAACCTCTGTCAAAGTAGCTCAGTTGGGAGACTACAGACATGCAAATTACAAAGCTTAGTAGGCCCGCTAGGATATTGCTTACGTAGTCTGCTCTTTATTTCTAGTTATTCTTGCAGTTTCTAGTCTTAAATTAGGCTGTTAGAACATGGTGGTTTCCTTTCTTTTTGGTTGGCAGACTAGAATTACAGAGGAATTATTTAAATTACAAATTTTGCTTTATATCTTGCTGTAAATGTATTGAATTTTTAGCTACACAAATATATTGTATTCACGTTAGCCTGCGAGATTTTTCTTGTAAAAGGGATGCCACCGTTATCACTCTAATAAAACAAACATGTCCAGACTGTATGGTATATATTGGCTATGGGATAGAGGACCTCCTCCGAATAGTGTAAATATCAACTATATATCCTGCAATTGAATCCAGGCCATGGACCCCTTCATTCAGTGTGGTGTCCCTTGGAAGTCACTGGGTCTCTGCACATGCACAAAGGTTTGCTCAGACGTTCCCGATTTTAGGATCGGGATTTCTGAACGTAAAATGCAAAATTGATAAAATGTATACCTTGTACTTCAAATTTAGTCCGCGATTTATGCATTTTAATTAAAGAATACAGTGACTCTAAGAGATATTAAGCTGTTAATCTTAAAAACTACTTTAGAGGTAAAATTCCCTTTTGGAAGAAGTTGTGAATGTTATTGTAATAGACAGTCCTGTTAACCATCCCTGTAACCAGGAGTAGCACAAGCTATTCTTTATATATCTGCCAGCGTACCTGAGTCTGTGTATGTAACAGCCTCACTATTATTTTCTCGGCCTCTCCTGGCCATGCATTACAAATTTAGATGACTTGCTTCTGATTATATGTGATTTTGTGAGGTGAACAAAATGTCCAGTAGGGACTAGAACAGAGATGGCCAGACTACCACATGTGGGCTTCCAGTTCTCCTCTTATCTGTAGCACAGTATTTTATGTTGTAGCAGAAGCTTCCATGTGTATTGTCTGCCCACTAGCAACATTTCCCCACAGAGTATACAAGTGGACAGTTGCCTGCTTCCGATTTCCCATGGCAACAGAAACAGAGTTGGGAGACTGGCCCAGCTTAAATCAGAAATAATTGGGTGTTTCAATCTAGCTGGGGATGTTGGTTAGAAGTGATAACTGGCAGGCAGCCAGTATCCGTGGTCTTTAGTAGTACAGTGTATTGATAAGAGAGATGACAAACCTGGAGACTGTTGCAGCTGGCAGCCTGATTTTTGCAGTGACTTTGAATCCATGTGCTGGAATGTTTGCCTGCTCTTGACTATCAGACTTCTTTCCACTTGTGAACCAAATAACTTAATTTAAATTTTCAGAGGCATATTCTACAGGATTATTTAATTTATGATTTTGAATAGCAAACTGGCCATTTAGTTACATTTGCAAATCTTGTGCCACTATCTTTGTCTCTGGCTTCATTCTAGTTTTTGATGATGGAGATGAGAGGACGTTGAGACGAACTTCATTGTGCTTGAAGGGGGAAAGGCACTTTGCAGAAAGTGAGGTAAGGAGATGTTAACTTTTCTTCAAGCTGGAAAGTAAGTCTTTACATTGTGGAAGAATTGCAAGCTAATTTATATTCCCATCTTCTAGACACTTGACCAACTGCCACTAACAAATCCAGAGCACTTTGGAACTCCAGTAATTGGGAAGAAATCCAACAGAGGAAGAAGATCTTCTCTTCCTGTGTGAGTTTTTATCATTCTATATATGATACTTTGTTACCTTATTGTCCTTTGCTAAAGTCTGATGACCCTAGAAATTCAATGTGTGCATAGCAGACAGAATTTGGTCTTAAATAACTAAAAAGAGTGATGTCGGAGGGATGAAACCGTCATTATTTTGTCATGTATTATATTCACAGCCTATATTTGAAAAGCGGTCATCTCGTCAGGCACTAGCTTTAAAATGTAATCACTTTCAAATTTATGAAAAAACTTTGGTATATGAGTAAATCTAGGATTTTTAACGTGCTTAGGCATTTAAACTGGTAAAACTGTACATACAGAAGCTTTGGGGCAGGAACGCTCTTTGTTCTGTGTTTGTACAGGACCTCGCACAGTGGAGGCCTGTTCCATGATTGGGGCTCCCAGGAAGTACTGCAATACAAATAATTATAATTGTGAGCACAGAGGAACTTCAGTAAATCAAACTTCTTTTACTTCATTTATACTCTCTTACTATTTCAGTTTTTTCAAGTTCAACCTTCTGCTTTTAAAAGTTAGTTTTAGTGGCCCTTAACCAGTATTTTACTGCTGTTCTTACGAGTTATATTTCCTCAAAATTATTATCTTCAAATTAAGGCTGTTTTAAAATATTGTATGCTTAATCCTCTAGCACTGAAGATGAAAAAGAGGAAGAAAGTAGTGAAGAGGAAGAGGAAGATAAGAGACGTCTTAATGATGAATTGCTTGGCAAAGTTGTCAGTGTAATTTTTTGTTCGGAGAAGACTGACTGGTATCCGGCTTTGGTAAGTAACAAATGATTGGGATATCCACAGTATAATGCCTTCAGAATACTATATTTTGGGTTTTTTGGGGTGTGTGTGTGAAAGGGTGTTCTGAATCTGTGTCAGAGCACTACTCTTGTCACTCCTTCCTTCCTCTATACTTGAACAGCACTACTTGCAGCCATTACAGCTCCTAGAGCAAGACTTGGGGATAGCTATCAAACTCAGGACTCCCTAGGCAGCTGGCTCATGAAGAATACATGTTTTGGGGTGGCAATTTTTTGTTTTTACAATTTAAGGGAGCAACAGGAAAATAAATATTCTGAGAAGTATTGAAACTTGTATCAGCTTTGTCTCTGACTTCAGTAAAAAGCTATACTTACAAAAAATATATAGGTTTTTTTTTTTAATATTGATCTTTCAACAAAATCAGATCTACTAAAACTACTACCTGTTGGTAATGTAAAACTACATTTCTAATCCTTTTTCTTTGTTTAAAATTTATAAACTACCAGATAAAATGCACGTGTGTGCTCTGTATATTATAGTATATTTTTTAAAAAAAGTTGACAAATTAAACTTTGTTCAGTGACATGAACAGTAGGGATTGGGTATTAGAGTGTTTTCATTTGTAAATTGACTTGTAATAGTTCTGGTTACAAATAACATACACAAGAGCAATCTAAAATAATCCTGGTGTTCTGTTGCTCTTGTACCTTTAATGTAAGGATGGAAATGTTTTACAGAACTTAAAAAAACATCAAAGGAAGCTTTATCAATACATTTTTGTAGTTCCTGTAGTTAAGCGTATGCATATTGTCTCCTTACATCAAGGACAACCACCCATTATTATAAACACTTTCATTAGAGTGTTGAATTGGGACATTTTACCCACTGACTCAAATGTTACCTTGTTAGATTTACTGTAGGTAAATGAATGTACATTGTATCTGGCTACTTGGTGCTGCTTTTCAGGAACTAACTGGAAAGAGATGACCTATCACATTGGGTTAACTGAATTTTAACACTGATTTTTTTTGGATGCAAGTAGGAAGAAAGATTAATTGTATACACAATAGTGTTTTTCTGCTGCAAGTATGTATCAGTATATTGTACCCTAATAAGTAGATATTGATGACTTCTGAGGTGCATGTCAAGGTTTATTAAAAACACGTTGGTATGTATCTCTTTCAGGACAGTAGATCTCGGTTCACTGAGATATGAAATATAGTATTGTTTCATATCTTCTGACTGTTGGTCAGAGCTCCATTTTGGTCATTCATTAAGCAAAAATTGTTCTAATATTCTAACTGGGAAATTGCTAGAAGTCCAGAAACTGTTGTTATCCTCTTAGCTAACCAAGAAATAGGAATCTCTGAATTCAGTCTGGTGTGAAATCCTGGCCCCATTGACGTGAATTGACAAAACTCCTATTGACTTCACTGGAGCCAGGATTTTGCCTGAGAGTGTTAACGTTGCTCTAGACCTTAAGAAGCAGTTATAGCTGGAAAACAGACTGGAAAAAAATAACCTTATTTGTGTCACTAGAGTAACACAACTCTGAATGCACAAAGAACATGATGGTAAAGATTTTACAAACTACCATTTAATCCTACAGCTTTAATACCACTGTGGAGGAGCTTTGGTTGACATTATCAACAGTATTATTTACTTAAGTCCCAGATGTAGAAACTTTAATATTGGGGATCATACATAAACCAGAAAAAAAGGAAGCTTACCTTTTGGATCCCAGCCTTAATATGAAAGACTAGCAATTGTAATCTGAGCAAGTTTTAATCTGAAAAACTATTGTATGGGTAAACATGTAATTCCACAATGCCATCTTTATAGAATAGCTTTTCAGAGTATAACTGCACTTTTGATCATTTACCCCCTAGATGTCAATAATAAAACTTCCTGGGTCGTTATATGAATGTTTACAATGTTGGATATGGTGCTCGTTTGGCAGCTTCTTAATTTTAGTCAAGTATTTATGAAGAAGTTGTTCATTGCCAGACTTTACAACGTAAATAGGAGTATACAAAAACCTAATTGCTGTTGCCTTTTCTGAAATTGGAAATAACAGTAAAAGAAAGTAGAAAGCATTTATACAGTCTTACTTTTTTTAGCAAGAAGAATAGCAACTCTTGAGAGCAATGTGTTTTATTTGAAACTTCAGGTAATATCTCCTAGCTGTAACGATGACATCACAGTGAAAAAGGACCAGTGTTTAGTTCGATCTTTTGCAGATTCCAAATTGTGAGTAATAGAATACTCTTAATAATAGTGTTGTATTGAAAAATGTGTGAACTTGTGACAAAAATTTCTTTGTGGACATTATTAAATTGTACATTAAGATCTTTCTATACAAAACTTAAGTACAGGATTCTGGTTAGTTAAAATTTATAACCAATGACTCATTATTTTCTTGCAACTTAAAATGAAAAAAGGCAAGCGACTTACAACTCAAGAAAAAACACAATAAAATTTTCTAACTATTTCATGCTTAAGATGCTCAATTGAGTTAACATATTTGGTGGAGGACAGTGGGGGGCTTACCAATGTTTCTCAATCATCTTAGATGATTAAAGTTAAATAATTTTTTTAAATTTTATTTTTGTTAGTCAAGCATTTTACTTCTGTTTTTCTCACTTTTTAGTTTACAGACACTTTCGAATTAATTTCTCCTTTTGGGTTTTTCATACATTAGTATAGTCCTTCATTTGGGTTGCAACATTGCGTTGGAATTTGTTGGGGTTTTTTGATAGACTTCTTTAAACTTTCCACTGAAATTGAAAAATCATTTTTAGAGGTCTTAAGTTTTTGTAAAAGCTTTTTATGTAACTTGGGTCCTGATGTTCCTCACTTAAGGTCTGCCAGTGTGGTACATTTTTGTGCATGTTTGTTGCAACAATGTTTTTAAACTGCTCTTTCAGTAGCAATTTGTAGCCTTTAACTAACAAACTCAGCATTTATTAAGAGAAGGTGAATTGAAAGTATTACTGGGTTACAAACTGCTACTGAAGGGGCACCTGGGCATCTAGGATATGGAGTGAGAGAAAGAGGGTCTAGTTACTCCAGAGAATCTTAAAAATAAGAGAACTTTATTAAAAAATATATTCAAAACAATTATAACGTTTTAACCATTTCCTATTATTTTTTCGTATACCATTTAGTAACTGCTTCTCATAGTGCATAAACCTCAACATTGTTTTTGTACAAAACATGCCTGTTTTTAAAAAAGAAATGAGCTATGGTTATAGCAGCAGTAATTCTCAATAGAGTGTGAATTAGTAGGCTACTGATGCACTGTTCCTTTTGGCCTTATTATGTGGCCAAGGCATGCATCAATAGCCTACTTGAAGCATATTTTGTTGTGAATTATCACTATAAATAACATTGAATATGTCTTATTACCAGTGCCTACTGGACAGTTTTTCTATTTACTTTTTCTTAAAAAGGACTGTCTCGCCCCCTTCCCCCCCCTAATTTTCTTTAGCTTGAGAAAGTGGTGGCCACCAGTTCCTTTAACTCTATTGGGGTTTTGCTACAGTTACTGAGAATGAACTGAAAGAAGAAAAATCCTATTATAATAACTCACTTGAAATATTACAATTGTAGGTTGGCCTACATTCCTATTATAGCAACCAAATTTAACTCAATATTTGGAATACATCTTGTTCCAAACGTAAAAGATTCCATATGTGTTAGCATGAGAGCACTTTTGAAACTTAAAAAATTGTATTTGCTTTACATACCTTGTTTTGTGTTAGCAAAAATACAGTTTAAAAACAGGGCACACATTTACTTGTCAATATATAGATGTTTTTGTAAACCGTAATATTGATATGGGATATATTACTTTATACATGCAGTAGCTACTTTGTAAAGAATGACTTCCATCTTTTCTCACCCCATTCCTTTTCTGCTGGTTACATATTATAAAATCAAGGATTCATTTTCATTGATCTAGCTGGAGGGACTATTTTTATATTGGATTTTCTATAAACTGGTCTTGAAATTGCTTTGAGTGATCAGATCTCTGTAGCATGCCCTAAAATTTGTATTTAAAAAGTAAATGTGCAGCTTTTCCTTAAAATATTATGAAATATAGTAAACGTTTATATTGTAACCTGACATCCAGTTCTTGTTCTTCCTTGCATTAATTCCCCCAAATGAATTGCTCTACAAGTCCTCTCCCTCCAAAGTGCTCAGCCATATCCTCTATCACACCACCTGCTAACATGTCTTCCTTTGTCATCCCACCACTTCTTAACATGACATCTAACTAACATGGACAAAAGCAAGGAAATGTAGAGATAAAACTTTGTTTCTACTGTATATTGGTGCTACAGACGTTAACTGTTTGAGTGATTGAGAGTAATGGCAAACTATCTGGCCGAAGTTTTAATTTCCTTGATAGTATGTTATGGGTTTTAAAAGAAAAAATTAAGAATATTTTAAATATTTTTATCTTTAAAAATATAACAGCTCTGTAACTATAACAGATTAAATTATCATTTTTAATTAAAAAGGCACTTTTGATGATTTTGGGAATGAAGATTGGGAGTTTCTATGTTATTGCTAGTATATATTGTGTTAGTGCATATGTCCGCTGATGCTTTATGTATAATTATAAAGGACCTTATTGTTGAAAGTGAATGAAGGGTCTTGAATTTTGAGAAACCACTTTTTTCATAAATGGAGTACTACTTGACTTATTCCTATTTTTTTATATTTTATTAAATACTTTCCTCTCTTTCAGTTATTCAATAGCAAGAAAGGACATCAAAGAACTAGATGTAAACCTATCAAAATCTGATCTGTCTGCTAAAAAAGGTATATTAGAATAAGTCTTCTCTGGTTTCAAAAACAAATCAGTTGTGTAATGCAATATTGAACCTTCTGCTGAGATGTGACCAGACTTAACTGCTTTCAGTTTACCATTGGAGGTTACAGTGAATACTAATAATACTGCTATATACTGTATGCTACGACTTAGCATTTTAACAGTGCTTTGCTAAGAAGCATTGGCAGCTATTGCTTCATACTTAAGATGGTAACCAAGCTTCCATTATAAGTCTGATTTATTTGGGGAGGGGAGTTCCCTCTCTAAAATCCACCCAAGTTATATTGGCCTCCAAATTGGTAGGATATGCATGGACTTGAGGTAGAAATATTCTACTGAGTTTGAAGTACCTTTATACACAGGATTCCTGAATTATGGCACTCTAAAAATAGAGCTTTTCACTAGAATTCAAAAAGTCTCCTTTGTTATTGTTTTCCTTATGGAGGCTTCTTAATGGAAAGAGAATTTTACCTCCAAAAGTAGGGAAGGGTAGGGAAGGACTTGTATGTCACAGGAGGGCTTGCCAAGCGAGGGCTTGTCCAGAAAGAGTCTTCTGCAAACCACAGGAGGTTCATCAGTTACAGAAGCCATGGAGGTATTAGTGCTCCCCAAACCTTCTACAACAACACTGAGCAGGTCCTTGGTGTTCCCACCCCTATCTATTTTAGGTACTTGTATGGCCCCCATTACTGTAGTATCCAAGTGCCTTACAGTCTTTAATGTATTTATCCTTACAAACACCTGTGTGAGCAAGGACAGTTATCCCCATTTTACAGTCGGGGAACTGAGGCACAGAGAGACTAAGTGACATGCCCAGGATTACACAGGAAGTCTGTGGTGGAGCTGGAAACAGCTTGAGTCTCTAGAATCCCAGACTAGCACCGCTAATCATTGGACCATCTTTCCTCTGCTTCTTCCGCACTCCCCAACCAAAAATCAGCCTCTCCTGCTCCCTGCCAAATTCCTGTGCCTCACAGGTTCACAAGCTTGAGTCCAAAAAGACTTACTGGGGCACTGATGCAGGTACCCAGGTGAAGCCCTATTCCACCATCCCAAAGATCTGCAGGAGGCTGGCTGTATTAAGTGAACATTAATGAGCGTGAGGAAGGTATACATTAGTGAGTCTCAGGGAGTTGGGAGGGTATGGGGGAATCTCCACTCTGCTCCCCAGCCCCATATTGGGAATAGTTTAAAAAAAAAAAAGCAATATCCATACAAAACCACTAAAATTATAGTGTGGATACCTATCAGTGGGTTTAGATGTGTATTGCCTTAATAACATTAGAGTTTGAAACAAAAAATCCAAACCCTAGAAACCAAATATGTTCATAGGGAAGATTGCCTTGCTTGAGAAATACAGTCATATTGCCTTAACTCAACCCCCTGGGGATGCTCTGAGGGGAATAAAGAAACTTCTACTATATTATCACCCATATCAATTTATTTTAAAACCCTACAGTCATACATGATCCATACTGAAGAATTATAGGCAAATGGGCATACTGAAGGCAGGTTTCAGAGGAACAGCCGTGTTAGTCTGTATTCGCAAAAAGAAAAGGAGTACTTGTGGCACCTTAGAGACTAACCAATTTATTTGAGCATGAGCTTTCGTGAGCCACAGCTCACTTCATCAGATGTGTACCGTGGAAACTGCAGCAGACTTTATATACACACAGAGAATATGAAACAATACCTCCTCCCACCCCACTGTCCTGCTGGTAATAGCTTATCTAAAGTGATCAACAGGTGGGCCATTTCCAGCACAAATCCAGGTTTTCTCACCCTCCACCCCCCCACACAAATTCACTCTCCTGCTGGTGCTAGCCCATCCAAAGTGACAACTCTTTACATAATCAAGTCGGGCTATTTCCTGCATAGATCCAGGTTTTCTCACTTCCCCCCCCACCCCCATACACACACAAACTCACTCTCCTGCTGGTAATAGCTCATCTAAACTGACCACTCTCCAAGTTTAAATCCAAGTTAAACCAGAATATCTGGGGGGGGGGGGGTTAGGAAAAAACAAGAGGAAACAGGCTACCTTGCATAATGACTTAGCCACTCCCAGTCTCTATTTAAGCCTAAATTAATAGTATCCAATTTGCAAATGAATTCCAATTCAGCAGTTTCTCGCTGGAGTCTGGATTTGAAGTTTTTTTGTTTTAAGATAGCGACCTTCATGTCTGTGATTGCGTGACCAGAGAGATTGAAGTGTTCTCCGACTGGTTTATGAATGTTCTAATTCTTGACATCTGATTTGTGTCCATTTATTCTTTTACGTAGAGACTGTCCAGTTTGACCAATGTACATGGCAGAGGGGCATTGCTGGCACATGATGGCATATATCACATTGGTGGATGTGCAGGTGAACGAGCCTCTGATAGTGTGGCTGATGTTATTAGGCCCTGTGATGGTGTCCCCTGAATAGATATGTGGGCACAATTGGCAACGGGCTTTGTTGCAAGGATAAGTTCCTGGGTTAGTGGTTCTGTTGTGTGGTATGTGGTTGTTGGTGAGTATTTGCTTCAGGTTGCGGGGCTGTCTGTAGGCAAGGACTAGCCTGTCTCCCAAGACTTGTGAGAGTGTTGGGTCATCCTTTAGGATAGGTTGTAGATCCTTAATAATGCGTTGGAGGGGTTTTAGTTGGGGGCTGAAGGTGACCGCTAGTGGCGTTCTGTTATTTTCTGGGCGCCCCATCATCTCAGGCATTGGCACCCTGACAGCAGGATTGTCTGGCTATGTAGACTCCCTCCTCAGGCCCTACGCTACCAGCACTCCCAGCTACCTTCGAGACACCACTGACTTCCTGAGGAAACTTCAATCCATCGGTGATCTTCCTGATAACACCATCCTGGCTACTATGGATGTAGAAGCCCTCTACACCAACATTCCACACAAAGATGGACTACAAGCCGTCAGGAACACTATCCCCGATAATGTCACGGCTAACCTGGTGGCTGAACTTTGTGACTTTGTCCTTACCCGTAACTATTTCACATTTGGGGACAATGTATACCTTCAGATCAGCGGCACTGCTATGGGTACCCGCATGGCCCCACAGTATGCCAACATTTTTATGGCTGATTTAGAACAACGCTTCCTCAGCTCTCGTCCCCTAAAGCCCCTACTCTACTTGCGCTATATTGATGACATCTTCATCATCTGGACCCATGGAAAAGAAGCCCTTGAGGAATTCCACCATGATTTCAACAATTTCCATCCCACCACCAACCTCAGCCTGGTCCAGTCCACACAAGAGATCCACTTCCTGGACACTACAGTGCTAATTAACAATGGCCACATAAACACCACCCTATACCGGGAACCTACTGACCGCTATTCCTACCTGCATGCCTCCAGCTTTCACCCTGACCACACCACACGATCCATCGTCTACAGCCAAGCTCTGCGATACAACCGCATTTGCTCCAACCCCTCAGACAGAGACAAACACCTACAAGATCTCTGTCAAGCTTTCTTACAACTACAATACCCACCTGCAGAAGTAAAGAAACAGATTGAGAGAGCCAGAAGAGTTCCCAGAAGTTACCTACTACAGGACAGGCCTAACAAAGAAAATAACAGAACGCCACTAGCGGTCACCTTCAGCCCCCAACTAAAACCCCTCCAACGCATTATTAAGGATCTACAACCTATCCTAAAGGATGACCCAACACTCTCACAAGTCTTGGGAGACAGGCCAGTCCTTGCCTACAGACAGCCCCGCAACCTGAAGCAAATACTCACCAACAACCACATACCACACAACAGAACCACTAACCCAGGAACTTATCCTTGCAACAAAGCCCGTTGCCAATTGTGCCCACATATCTATTCAGGGGACACCATCACAGGGCCTAATAACATCAGCCACACTATCAGAGGCTCGTTCACCTGCACATCCACCAATGTGATATATGCCATCATGTGCCAGCAATGCCCCTCTGCCATGTACATTGGTCAAACTGGACAGTCTCTACGTAAAAGAATAAATGGACACAAATCAGATGTCAAGAATTATAACATTCATAAACCAGTCGGAGAACACTTCAATCTCTCTGGTCACGCAATCACAGACATGAAGGTCGCTATCTTAAAACAAAAAAACTTCAAATCCAGACTCCAGCGAGAAACTGCTGAATTGGAATTCATTTGCAAATTGGATACTATTAATTTAGGCTTAAATAGAGACTGGGAGTGGCTAAGTCATTATGCAAGGTAGCCTGTTTCCTCTTGTTTTTTCCTAACCCCCCCCACCCCAGATATTCTGGTTTAACTTGGATTTAAACTTGGAGAGTGGTCAGTTTAGATGAGCTATTACCAGCAGGAGAGTGAGTTTGTGTGTGTATGGGGGTGGGGGGGAAGTGAGAAAACCTGGATCTATGCAGGAAATAGCCCGACTTGATTATGTAAAGAGTTGTCACTTTGGATGGGCTAGCACCAGCAGGAGAGTGAATTTGTGTGGGGGGGTGGAGGGTGAGAAAACCTGGATTTGTGCTGGAAATGGCCAACCTGTTGATCACTTTAGATAAGCTATTACCAGCAGGACAGTGGGGTGGGAGGAGGTATTGTTTCATATTCTCTGTGTGTATATAAAGTCTGCTGCAGTTTCCACGGTACACATCTGATGAAGTGAGCTGTGGCTCACGAAAGCTCATGCTCAAATAAATTGGTTAGTCTCTAAGGTGCCACAAGTACTCCTTTTCTTTATACTGAAGGCAGTCATTCATTCCTTACCATTAAATGTCTTATCCTACAAAGTGCTGAGCTCACTCAAAGCCTCTCATACAAGGCACATATGCCTTGATCATGAAATTAGAGCACTAATACTGTATTAAAAGAGCAAATGATAATGTGGTGAGAAATCATCACGCTTGGCATAAGAGACATGTATGTATGAAGCAAGTATTTCAACCAATGTTTTGTGATGCTTGTTTCTGATAAAGTTGGATGTAAGGTGAAGATGATAACTCTGCCCTCAAGGTGCCTGCCTAAGATAACATTGTACTTGTCAAATAGCACCTAAGTTAACTCTGAATTCCATGGATTTCCAGTATTTGGGTTTTTAATCTAACACTCTTGAAAACTAAAATCTGCTCATACTGTGAAGATGTGCTTGCAACCTTAGGATGGAGTTAAGTTTTTGTGTGGGGATAAATGATAGTATTTAAATTTTTAATTAACTTTTCACCACCTATTGACAATTCACCTCTGAATTTTCCTCCCCACTTTCATTATAATTTGAAAAAAGAAGAAAAATGAGGAATATTTTGTAATTTACATCATTTTGAGTCTTAGTACCTTGAACACTAGACATTTTCCTCTGTAGGGTTACAGGAAGCAAGCACTTTCTTAAACACAAAAGCTGTTCCTGATAACTGGAAAATGGATATGAGTGAAATTCTGGAGTCCTCCAGCAGTGATGAGGAAGATGGAGCTGCTGCAGAGAGTGATGAAGAGGAAGACAAAGTGGAAGAAAAGGAGGAAGAAGTAGTGGTAAGTCTCTTTTTATATTAGAAACAATTATGCAGTTAGAAATGGCAGATACAGAATTTAAATGTCCAAGGACATTTTAGTTACCAGATTTGTGATCTCAAACTTGGCTTACTCACTTTTGAGTTTTCAGACCTGTTTATCCTCCCTTCACAACTCTCTTTAGTGGTATCTGTGTGCAACTGCAGATAGTCTGCCATTATCCAATGCATAAATCTGAGACAAATCTCAGAAATAAATCAGAAAACATTGTTGGAGAGGGTCTGGGTAAGAAATATGCAGATAGAGAAAGGAAATAAAAATTAAAATTTGATACATGTCTGAATAATAACCTAGTGCTGATTTAAAGTATAACATGTTTCTAAAATCCAAGATCCTCTTGAATGAAGAATACTTCCCGTCAGAGAAGGTACTAAAATGCCAAAATAAAAATATCGGCATAGTAGAGGAAAGTGGTAGATGGATGGATTGTGCCCTGTTATAACTTATTTGTTAGCTATCTAAGAACCTCAGAATCTTATGCTAATTATCTTTGTAGACAATATTTCAGTAAAGCTTTCTTTAAATATTAAAATGTTTTAAGTTATGGAATGGTAATGTTAGTGTCTGTTTAATATATGCCTTAAATTCAATACAAGTGTCTGTGTCACAGAAGTATTGATAAAATGATCCAGTTACTCAGTTTCCATAAAGTAAAGCATCATCTGTCCTTATGTCATCAAAAATGAATTTATGGAATTTCCTTTAATTTTTATCTGGTTTTAAATCTTACAGAATTAGATTTACTTGCAAACAAAATATTTCTTTGTAAGTTTGTGTACCATACATGGAACTAGGAGATTCATTATATAGAAAAGGAAAGTAAACTTTCTGTTTTTAAAGAGGGTCAAATATCGTTTCCCTTTCACTTCCCCTGTAGTATGTGGTTTTGTCACACTGAAAACAGAATGGCTGTTCATACTTGGAGGCAGGCTGCCTACAGTGTTGCCATAGTAACATTCTGTTGGTTTCAAGTGAGCATGCTCAGGAAAGAGAGGAAGATTTAGCAGAGGCTTGGCAGCCTGCCAGTGAGGCTTGCCAGATGCTTTGAAATGGACTGTCTCTTTCTTTTCCTTTCATGTAATGTCTGATTTTTATATGGAAGAGAATGTAAGTAATGCTATATAACTGCGGATGTCGTGCAGTGAGAGAGAAAGAAAGCAAATATTTGGAAGTCAGGATGAAATATGTCCAGGCACTGGGCAGATTAGGTAGAAGGGAAATATAACCATTTTTCAGTTGAGAGAAAATGCAGCTCATAGGTAAGGAGTTTGTGTTTTAATCTGAAACGTTAACATTTTTCATTATTAAGAATGTGGATTTGACTTGGAGTTCAAGGTTTCTGATTTGCGAACAATGTGGTATAGCATGTAGCCAAGGGTAAATGTTTCCTTGTTTAAAACAATAAAATAAAAACCTATTTTTAGACATTAATGTTGTGCCTTAGTAATAGTGTTCTGAAAAATGGAGTAGTTTTCCATATGAAAATATTGATATGGTTAGATAAATGTGAGGATGAATGTGCATAGAATATGAAATCCCACTGGTTTTTTTCCTCTGTATGTAGTGATAAGAATTGAATAGGCCACATTTTGCAGGGTGTGAACTGTTGCAGTCTGCGTTGATCTGTACTAACGTTTGTTAAAATTGCATACTCCCGGTCAGTTTTGGGTTTTTTTGTTTTTAAAGAAAAAAGATGGCTTTATCGGCTTCTGGTATAATTTTTTGTGTTATTTTACAATGGATGTTGTCTAAAAGTGCAGTATGCTTCAAACAAAGAAGGGGGAGGGGTAGCTTTGTTTAAAAACAAAACAGCATTCCTATAAAACAAATGGGGTTTTCATTTCTGATTCTAAGAAAATAATCTGTTGATCAAGGAAAGGGAGGTAAAGCATTCCAGAGATGTAGATATGTCAGTAGGAAAAGCTGTAGTATCCATTGTTTCCAGGTGACAAGTAGGGATGTAAAGATAAAGGGATCATAAAGCTATCTAGTGGAGCATAGATATTTTTATTTTTATTTTTTTAGATTGTCTGAGCAGAGCTGTCATTCTCGACCATAAAGTCAAAATCTTGATTATTCTGTTATAATAGTCTAATCTTAAATATTTAATTGTGGGCAAAGCTCAATATTTCTGCTAAAGAGAGAATTTAGGAATTGTGATTTTTTTTTTTTTCCTTTAAGGGTTTTCTTCAAAACGTCACTAATCTGGGATGCAGACCTAAGGCAGCCAATGAATAAAAGACTGTTGCCTTGGCTATGTATGATTATAAATATTGAATCACTCAAATTTTAATCAAGGTCAAAATAACCTCATTCCTCCTTCTGTCAGAATATCCTTCAATGTATCTTCTGTTTTGGGACTCTGAGTCAGTCTGTTCTATTTTTTTAAAATTTACCATGGTGGTGCAGTAATGGCCTAGCTGCCAACAGGCATGGAAGGCCTTTCTCAGATAAATGACATGGAGTCCCCTTAACTCTGCAAATATATATTTAGTACATACCCAGCATATTGTCAGTCAAATCCAAAGGATGGTATTATTATGGAGTCAGAACAGTTGCTTGTGATTATAGAACCTAATGTAGTTGCTTGTGATTGTAGAACCTAGTATGTTCTCACAGCTGGATTAGGATCCATAATTTTGCTTTGACACACTGTAGGTTTTTTTTGGTTTTTTTGTGATTGATTTGGTAGTGGTGCAGTACAACGGAGTAATTTAGGATAAGCACCAAGGTATTGTGGTGTTGCTGCATAGTCTTTTCAGGATCTGAGAGTATGGGATCAACATGGTGGTACCCAGATGATTATCTCTCCTGTTGGAGGTAACTTTATGAGTGTGGAATTCTTTACAGTTGGCAGTGCAGGAGGAAGATCTGGAGATAGCTTTGGCATTGACATCTGTATTAAATTTTAGAAGAACATTAACATGTATCATGTTGCAGAATGAGTTTCTCAAAAGATTAAATTTGAGACTTTTTTGCAGTAATTTCAAAATACTGCATAGCAGCCCTAAGTTATTGTATTGCTTTCAACTTACAATTGGATGCTTATTTAAGTAATGAAACTGACTTTTTGTTACTATTATTTTTGCTTTTCCTTTTGGTTGAATAAGGTAACTTTTCCCATTTGGAAGTGAGTGGTTGGTTTGAATATAACCACTGGTCTGTTGGCTATAACCTTTTGTATTCAATTTGTAAATTTAAAAATCTGAAGTACGAGTGTGCTAGATACATATTCGGATGTAGCAGCCATTCTGAGGATAAATTGGAACTGAAGGTATAAATTTGAAACTCTTCTATATCATTGTCTGCTTTGAAAACATTCCAGAAGCTAAAGGTCTGTCTCTAATATGCATGTCTTATTAAAAATCAAAAATATGTACAACCATATTATTTCTTGTACTTATACTCTTCTGTCAAGGAAGATGGCAATGGCTAGTTGTTTACCAGTAAATAAAAATGTCCAATGATTAACTTTTTCCTTGTCCTGTGTTTAAAGGGGAGAGTGCCTGCAGCTTGCAGTTTGATCTTTTGAGTCTCTTTGGACATTCTTCCTGTGGACAAATCAAGCCCTGTTCATGCATTTAGTTAAAATATATATATATTCCTTTTGTTGAGTCAGAAGCAACAAAAGGAATTCCTATACGTCGAACGTATGCATTTGATTTTATGTGTAGGATTCAGAGAGTTACAGTAAGACATAATATTAAATGATGATTGGATCAAAGGGCAAGTGCTTTGGAGGGTGGGGCGTTGTGGGAAGGGAGGAATGGTGTATAAGGCCCTCAGTGTTCAGGTTTGGACAGTGTACCGTGACTGAATTTAACTGCTATTGCCCCTGAGGAGGTAGTGTTTTTGTTTTATTATCCCTTTGGATTTTTCATCCTTTTAAATTTTTAGAAGCATGAAGAGTTAAGAACATAAAAACAGTGCTAGCTAGATCGCTCCCTCAGTGTCTCCCACTCAAGAGGGATTGGCTAGCAGACCTGCATCTTTTTCATGGAGAGTCTTCCTAATGGGAGATATTGCAGAAGCTGGCCAGTTCACCTCATGGGAGAAATGGGGGGAACAGGTCACCATGCTGGCCATCTTTAAAGGTGTCTGTCTCATATGAGATCAGAAGTAAGTTGTTTTCCATTTGAAAATGAAATTTTGGTGCCTAACTCGTTTCCTGCTGTTTGAAAATAAGAACTGCAAGTTCCAGGAGGATGTGGTGGCAGAGGGTGGGCTCTGTTCTTGGGGCAGTGGCAAGCACCTGGTCAAACTCCTTGTAACAGGGGCATATATTTTTAGGTCAAATTATAGATTTCTTGTCACATGAATTTACCCTACTGAAATCTTCAACTGGGGGGAAAGATGGTCCAATTAAACAATGACTCTGAGGAGTTTTTTTTTTCAAAATAAGACACGTTCTAATGAAGTCAAATTCCTAAATGCTGAATCAGGAGCGTGGTGTAGCATGCACTTTTTCCAACACCCTTCAGATCTCTGTTTCTCAGAAAGGCAACAATATACTATAAGAGATAGAAAGTGTAATTAAAATAGAAAAGTTGCTACCTAGAAAGTTTCATATGATACTTCCAGATTTGCAGATATATATAAAAAATGGATGAAGTGTTCATCATTTTCCTGTGTGAAATTAGTTGTTTGGTCAAAGTCTACTTCCCAATGGACAGGTATTTGCATCATAAATATCACCACAGTTGGCACCCTTGTTGGCACTCTGAGCAGACAAACCAGTGACTGAATGGGCATGATGGCTGGACTACCTTTTAGCCTATAGAGGAGGTGTCATCCAGTTAGCACTGAGTCACGTCACTGCCCACCAGCAGTGCAAGAAAGCTTTCCCTGCTATACCTGCTCTGTGGATAAGTAGAGGATTTCAGTCCTAAGGATTTTCATTCCTGGACCTTTCACCAGCATTGAATTTACATTGGGTGGGGGATGAGGGGAGGGGAGGTGGA